TGCTGTCGCTGCCGCTTCCTCTTTTCTCAATCAGCACCCTTTTATACTCCTCTTCCTTTTTCTCCTTCTGTATACTGTTAACAGTATACTAATAATAGTATTTGTATTTATTGGATTAATAATATATTATTTTGATTTTAATACTATTATTTTTTTTTTAATTTAATAGCATATTTTTATTTAAAATTTTAAATAATTATATTTATTAATTATATTATATATTTTTATATTTTAACGCCTCGCTTCACTCGGGTGAGCGCCTAGCGTCTTTTGGTGCCTAGCGCTTTTTAATTCACTGATTCCAAGTACGTAGCCCGAACACTCTATGCTATATTATGCTGAATAATGGTTGTTATACGTGTAATAAAGACCATTGTAATTAATTTGAGGTTTTTTATTATATAAAAATAACCCCAAAAAGGGGTCAGTGTAACCCATATCTTCTCTTACAGTTGTATAATAAAAATAAATACCTCCATAGAGTCTCACTATTCACCAAATAAAATATTTTTAAAATTTTGAATTAATTTCACTTGAAACAATTTTTAATTAGTGTTTTATTATTTAAATAGTGAATTTGTACAATAGTATCCCTTATTTCCTTTTGTATTCCACAGCAGTTTCCGATATGTTGAATACCAGAAATTTTTTGGCTAATTTATTTATTTTGTTCTCAATAGATGCTTGTGATTTAAAATTTATTGCAGAACTATTTTTGTACAATGGATTTAAATCTCTCTATTTTAAATATCTTTTATCTTCTGATTTTGGAAGCCACAGCCTTACAAATGCTTCTGCAGCATCTGTTGATTTGCCCTATATCATTTATGAGTTTCTGTGCTTAGTTTTTAAATTTATAGTATACAAGAACATGCAAGGAAACATACTACTGGATGTGACATCGGTTTGCAACTTTTGGGAGGCATAACCATTGAAGCATCTGTCAGTAAAAATAAGTCAGCATTGTGGGGTCAAGCTTTTTTAAGCCATTTAACATTGCAGGGTATAGGTACTTTACACAGCCATTTACTATTTAAACTAAACTTGCTCAAAAAATTTCATTTATATAAAAACTAATTGTTGGAACTGCTGGAAAAATGATTCCGTCTTTGGAAATATAATATGAGTTAGAAGATGGAAAATGCATAATGAATGGATAACTAGTATCCAAAAGTGATTTCATTGTTTGAGCTTTATTTTTGCAGAGTTGCCACAGAGGAATATAAACAATCTCTTCACTTACCAGAATGTTTCCTGGATTTGCTTTCTTTGGGTAGAATAAAGTGATGGATGATTTGTTACATTATACTTTATTAGTTAGATCCATCATCAGGGCGCTAGATGTTCCCATATGCTTTGATCTTGTTTTTTATTTCTGTCTTATGCCCTTTCTTCCAATATTGATGGGGCTGAAACAGCTCATATGCCAAATGTCTTATTGTACTTCAACCCTAAACCCTGTACTAGTTTCTTTATTATTTTATTATGCTTTGAAATTTTGCATCACGGTTTTCTGAAAATTGTAAGTATAAACATGAATTGGAAGATGAAGTAGTTTCTTTAGATAATGCTGTTTATTTTTCAAGTTTTGTGACTCTTTTAGTAACCAATTTCCAATCCTCCAGGCAGCCTGTGAAGAGCTGAGGAGCAGTAGGTTGTTTCTCAAGCTTCTAGAAGCTGTCCTGAAAACTGGGAATCGCATGAATGTTGGCACTAATCGTGGTGATGCGCACGCCTTCAAGCTCGACACACTTCTCAAACTAGTAGACATCAAAGGCACTGATGGCAAGACTACACTTCTTCACTTTGTTGTCCAGGAGATCATAAGAGCAGAAGGCTCTCGCCTTTCTGGCACCAAACATCTGACAGCCGAAAACCTAAATACTCTGCAAGACGACCTCGAGTGCAAGAAGCTCGGCCTCCAAGTTGTTGCTGGCCTGGGAGGCGAGCTTAGCAATGTGAAGAAAGCAGCTGCAATGGACTCTGATGTCCTCTGCAGCTATGTCTCAAAACTTTCTGGAGGAATTGGTAAGATAACTGAGGTTATAAGATTGAACGAACCGTTGCAGTCAAACGAGAGCTTTCAGAGGTTCAACGATGCCATGAATGGGTTCCTAAAGAAGGCGGAGACTGAGATCGTAAAACTGCAGGCTCAAGAAAGCTTGGCACTCTCCCTGGTCAGGGAATTAACCGAGTACTTCCATGGGGACTCAGCCAAAGAAGAAGCTCATCCTTTCAGAATTTTCATGGTAGTAAGAGACTTCCTGGCCATTCTTGATCAGGTATGCAAGGAGGTAGGAAGGGTAAACGATCATAGCTTCATTACCTCAACTAAACAGCAACCAGCACCTGTAAACCGAACCCTGCCGCCACTGTTCCCAAGATTACATGCACTGCGATCTGAAAGTTCCGACGAAGAAAGCTGACCAACATTGTCGTAGATGATCTTTGTCAGTTCGTCGCCTGGTTATCAGCTGGTAAATGCGGCACGACATAGATTAGAAGCCAGGTTATTTATATATATTTTTTGTACCAGCAGAATCTTAATGCAACAGAATTTTGTGAATAATTATGGCTATATATATATATATATATATACATAAATCTAGATCATAGAAAGTGGTGGTGGGGAAGATGGCATTGTGTAGAAGGATCTTGTTTGTCATTGCATGATTGTTATCCAGAAACATTCATCTAGTTAGCAGCTCCAGTATTCTGATACATATTTGCATCATGTTGATGTGTAGCACACACAATGCCATGAGTTTAGGCTGCAGACAGTGTATCACCCACCTGTATTTATATCTCCAAGATGCTTTATTGTTAAGCCTGGTTCTTTTCTTATTTCTGTCCCTTGATGGATTTATATTGAATGCTCTTGTTTGTAGATATTATTGAATGCAGCAGGTTGGATGGATGTGCATCAGAGTTTATGACAGAGAAAGAAATAAATGGTTAAAAATGCCTACCAGAATTGTTCCTCTGCAAACTCTCACTGACTGAACTCTTGCTGTTGGTTGCTCACCTTGCGTTTGCCCTACCGGAGGCCTCAAAGCACACTGAGATCCGACGATGGAGGTCATATAAAGGCGGAAGTCAAAAGCAGAACTATGTCGATGCGACATGATCTAAATCTCTGAGCCCAAGTTTCGATCGGTCATCGAGATCAAGCTCCATCTAGAAGCTCACCCTCCGAACAAGGTGTGTGTTGTGTTGCTGCAAGCTAATCCAATTTCGATTCTGCAAGTGCAACCACACTGTTGAGCTGAACTCGTCCTGCTTTGTGGAATGCATTTATGATCTTTACTTTGCCATTGTACGATAATAGGGCCATAGGAATCCTTCATGATGGATGGATGGATGTTTTTGGATGCCAAGATTTTGCCAGTTCTTGGGGATTATGGCCTGCAAACTATTCGTTTTCATCATCGTCTCTCTCTCTCTCTCTCGCTGTGCCTTCGGGGTCATCAGCTAGCCCAGGAGACAGGAAGCATATATTTAAGGAGCATGATTCGGGGGTGTGATGGACAGCTTCATCTTGTTCCCTCCTCTTCCCCAAACTCCAAGAAACAGGAATGGTCAAAACAAGTGCTCATGGTCTTGGCGCTGTCCCATTAATGCCTTCGATCCCCCATCATTCATTACTCGTCCCCTTTGATCTGCACACACTTTTACTGTGAAGAACGAGCACAAGCTTTGACTGCTTTTGTTTTGCCTGCTCATGTGACACATTATTCTCTTTGCAGTCATCAGAGCTCAATCCTCCTCTCATTCTTCCTCCCTCCCTCAGGCCTTTTTGCACACACCTCTCTCTCTCTCTCTCTCATTCTTCCTCTCTCCCTGATAGAAGAAGACAAGTAAATTGCAGAGCAGGCGAAGGACGTGCTCTCAGTGCTAATCTTTACCCGCAGTTGGTGCAGCTGCGGCCACCGTTCCCCATACACGTGGGTAGACAATTCGGTGCCCGTGCAACGCTGCTCTTTGATCGGACGCATCGTGCGGAGGACCTTTCTTTGACTTCCACTGCTCCATGGAAGCTCAAGTCAAAAGCCGATGGCCTGCTCATGTAGGATGGAGTCGTCATATGTCCATAGGTAGAAAGCTACTGATGGATGCTCACAGCCATGAACGAGCTTGGAGTTCCGGTCGTTCCATAAACATGTCTCTCACCGAGTTTCGGGGATCACTTCTCTTCTCAAGCGTACGACTCATACGATCATCATGATTCCAAGAGTTTGAACTGTTCATGAGTTATGCTAAGCCAAACTATTGAATCTGTGCAATTCATGTATGAGAAAAAGCTCGCAAACAAGAAGCATAAATGATGATATGATCTTGCATTTATGGAGAACTAATTTAACCGGTAAGATACACGATCTCTACAGAGTAATGCCGAAGCAGAAGCAGAGAGGAAAGAAGAAGAGAAAGGGAGAGAGAGGGAGGAGGAGGAAGAGGAGACGTGAGCGGATGTGGATCGCATTTAAGGACCGGGCATCATTGCTGAGGCACGTCATCATTATCATGACCGCGCCTTCCAAAGCTTATAGAACTGCAAGAGATATTATATGCATATATGAAAAGTAGGGATCGGTGATGGGTACAAATGGTGTAACGCATTTAACACACAATCTCTCTCTCTCTCTCTCTCTCTCTCTCTGCAGAACGGCATTCTGGGGAGGGATTTATGACACCTTTCATTGATGACTCGACCCCTTTCTCGCACAGTGACTTCTGTCTTTACTGATACGTCCCCTGCTATCCTCTGCAAACTGCTGTCTGCCTCCCCCCAACCTTACGACCAATCTCTCTCTCTCGAGAGAGAGAAAGCAGTGTGTAATAGGCTTTCCCTTTTTATTTCTTCATCTCGAGCTGACTCTTCATTTTAGCTCGACGGGATTCCAATAACACAGGGTTTCAGATCGACAAGAACATGATGTTGGTGTTTGAAGGAACGATCTTATGTTTGACTATGTCACGAGTCAACTCTCAAAAGCTGGCTGGGAAAACGAAAGTAATTTATGATCATTTGCATGCACGAAAAGAAAGCAAGTATAAGTCACTACTACAAGGATCGGATCTTGATAGAGAAAGTAGCATTGCCACATAGCAAGAACAAGTAAACACATATCGTCCGACTTTGGATAACATAAAGCCAGAGGTAGAAGATGAAGACATCCTTCCTTTGTTTGTAGTTTTGACTGTGTAAAATGGCAGGACTGTCACAGGAACACACTTCTCAGTTCTTTTCCTGCAATCAATCACGCTCCAAATGTTCAACCTGCAACTCGAAATTGTAGGAATACGATTAGAGAATGCACAGAAGGAAGCATAGAGGCATCGATACAATATTTATGTGCAAATGCAAAACTTAATGTAGCCTTTGAAGTGCATTAGTATCATACAATATTCTTTAGCAGTGGACAGTAAGTTTGTATGATTCATTCAATACACTACCTAATAAATTCTATGTTAGAAAAGAGATAATTATCCATTGTAATATGTCTGGTAATATCCATTAAGTAAATGTGTAGGACATACATAATCTAACAAACCAGACTTTGGTCATACAATTTGCAGTTCATAGAAGCTCAAATTGTATGCTCAACTCAACATGTAAGCATGTTTTGATGACACTAATCAATTACCATATAACTCAGTTTGTAATGAGAACACATGCACCTAACACTTGATAGAACATCTTTTTGGATTGAAAGTGAGATTGCTGCCACAAAATTTTATTGAAGTGCTTAATCAGGGAGAGAAAATTTGAGAACATAAACATATAAACTACTTGGATTAACTTCATATAATTCATTTTATAACCTAAAAAGAAGTAGGTTTTCCAATCTATCACACTTCTCTGACTAAATCACTGTTAGAATTCCCCCTACATATTAATTATAAATGCAGCTAAATTCAAAGTTTTTACACACAAAGACTTCATCTTTTGGGCTAAACTTACAACAGTAGTGTGAATAATAGGGAAGAAGCAGAGAGAGAGAGAGAGAGAGAGAGGGAAACCTGCTAAGGTTTTCTAGAGAGGCCCAATGCCCGGCCGCTCGTCGCCGCCGGCAGCACTCGGCTTCGAGAAATGCCCACCAAACAGCCCAATTGCTGCCGCGGAGGTGGCGTTCACAGCCGCCGCCAGGCCTGCATCATAAGCACCGTTGGCACCCAACCTCGCGGCCAGATCTGCGTCATGATTCCTCAGCATCATCTGGAGGTTGTGGTTTGGATCCCTCGCGGAGGATGGGAAGAACTGATCCCGTCCGAACCCGAGGCAGGTTATGCCGGTGTGGTTGAGGTTGATGAACCCGTGGCCGGTGGCGGAAGTCACCGGGATGGTCTCGCCAAAACTGGCGCTGGAAGTTCCTGCAGCGGCGGTGGCGGCGGCTGCGGCTGCGGCTGACCGGTACTTGGAGAGCTCGGACTTGGCGCAGGAAAGGTCCATCTGGAGCTGCCGCAGCTGGTGCTGGAGGATGGAGATGACGCCGACGCATCCGTAGACGGGGTCGCGGAGGCGCATGTCGGCCTCGTAGGCGAGGGAGTTCACGGCGTCCTCGCGCTGGTAGGGGTGCAGCTCGTTGAGGAGCTTCGTGACGTTGCTGGCGCCGAAGACGCGGTGCACGTGCACGAACTTCTGCGGCTGGTCCGGCGGGAAGTAAGGGGCGAAGACGCAGTCGGGTTGGCACTTGCGGCGGAGGAACTTGCAGGCGGCGCACGGTGAGCTCGTGGATGAAGGCGAAGCGGAAGACGCGGCCGATGAGACCGGCAGCTGGGCCGATGACGACGCCATTGACAGACTTCTCCTTGTCTATGAGAGAGAGAGAGGAGATGAGATGGTTGCGATCATAAGTAGAAAGATTTTTTGGAAAGAAGACATTCGAATACACATTATATATACAAAAAACAATTAGAGATTCCGATTTTGATTTGCTCAAACAAATCAAAAGATAGAGGAAACAGATCTTCCAATCAATCAACTCTACGACTAAAAGAACATCGCACGGAAATCTCAGAAAAGAAATGGAAATCTATGTCCGACCAAAAAGGCAGAACCTTTTTGCTGAATCCAATCACTCTTTTCTTTCCTTAGCCGAAAAGGACATATCTTTTCGATCGAGAGTAGTCGAGCCAACACTTTGTACCCTACACTCTCTTTCTGAGGCATTCTTCCAATTGAGTCTTTGGCTTCTGATGTGTTCTACAAGAAAGCCGTGTGCCAGAGGACAAGGAGAAGAAGAGAAGGGCGACGGCGCAGTTGAAAACATATATATTATGTATGTATGTATGTATGTATGTATCTACCTTTTAGTTCCTGCCAATCTGGTCCGGTCCTCAGCTCGCGGCTGCGCCTTCGTTTTGCTTCCTCTCGACGTAGGACGAACACCAACGGCAGCGGAGGAGAAGGATGCGCAGAAACGAGTTGGATGAGCAGATCAAAATCTGAGAGAGAGAGAGGCAGCGAATTTATAGAGAGTTGGTGTGATTACTGTGGGATATGATAGAGAGAGAGAGGTGGGTGCTGTGTGATGTCTGGTATTAAGGAAAGAAGGGATTTGATGGGATTGAGAGATGGTAAGAAAGAATGAGCATGTCTTGATTTGACGTTTACGTTACTCGACTCCATAATCTCTCTCTCTCTCTCTCTCTCTCTCTCTGTCTCTCTCTCTTGGTTTCACTTAGCAGGCATGTAGAGAGAGCAACAGCGACACCTCGACGGGAATTACGTCGAGCAGGTTGTACGACGAGGCCGCCATTAATTCTGCCATCTGTTCGTCCATGGGCGCTCTTCATGTGAAACTGGAAATACTTGTGCTATGGCCTTACAATCCAATTGCTTGTGATGTAGGTCCGAGCGAGAGCATACATCCTTAGGTTTAACGCTCCTTCCATGGATGAAATCCTTCTCATGTGTACTTTGGTGCAGTCATTGAAGATGGAGATCTATCTCTAATTGCTTGCACATCCAATCTTTTCCATTTTATGGAAAGCACAATGAAGCAATTTATTCTTTTAAATATGATTCTTAATTGGATGATTAGTAAAAGCATAGGCAATTCAGAATTGGTTAATATCAACCACAAAACTAGTGTTGTCGAGTATCCGACTTCGTCGTTGCAAAGCTCAAGCCGACGATACAATTCGAGATCGAGAGCTAAACGAAGAGTTTTGAAAATAGAACTACTGAAGTCTTCGTTAGCTATCATGAATGATGTGGTAGTTCTAATGAATAGAATCTTACATGTTAAGTCCTTATTGACTCGAAATATTAGTTATATCAAGTTATATGACCTCAAAGAGTTAGCTACACTAACTCACTCGAGCCCTTCAAGTGTTTGATTCAAGTGTAAAAACATCCCTTTAATTCCTTCTTGCGTGTATTATTATGACAACTCATCGAACTTCAAGAGCCCATACATCAATCACCATCTCCATTAGGCATCGCGTCACCTCTAACAATCCTAATAATGATTCATCCTTGCTAATGTGACATGGTTCTTATATCCCTAATCTTCATTCGTGTTGCGAATTAGGTCAACACAAAAGTTGTCTACCATGACTTATGATAGCATTCTACTAAAGCTAAAAATAATAAGATGTTGTTTCTATCGAAATTAGTTAATACCTAACTATTAAGTCGAAAATTGATGTTTCGAGTCAGAAATTTATTCAGAGCCAATTGAGCTCTTTTTTTCGCATTGGTCACAAGTGGATTTTCAAACTTATTCAAATTTATCTCGACTTCGAAAATGTTAAACCCCACAAAATTACGTCGAGGGTTAACTTAAATTAGTTTTGGGATTGGAAGATTCAACTAATGCTTTGAGTAGGATTAGAAAAAGTGTTCGAGGAATGTAATGCCAATTATGAAGAGCGATTGTACGCCTCTCTCGAGTTTAATCATGACTATGTCACATTTAATATATGATATAATAACACCCAATCGATTTGTTCTCGTGTTGAGATGTCGACCACGTACCAACCATATATTGATCATATGGCTCTGAGGTGTTGACTATATATAAGCCATGAGGAACCGAGGTGTCGACCACCTTAGTATCTCAGGATCATGTGTCTTATATCACTACTAAATACAACTCGATCGTGTCATTAAAATAAAAAAGATTCCCATTAAAATTATTAGATAATGTACTCATCGAACATTATGAATGTGAGAATTTGGATGAGATTTTTGTAAAGAAAACCAATCAAACACTTGCCATTAATGAGCTCTTGTCCTGCACTGCCTGCCTTACCCACTTGTCCTTGTTCCATTTAAATTCCCAAACCAATCACCATCCCACCTTCGTTTCATCTCTCTTCTTTCACGGCGGTGGATGAGCACAAAGAAGCGTAAATTAAAGTTGATCTCGATGTCCTATCGAGGTGACTGATCTTGAGCTGACCGTCACGCCGAAGATGTTTTGACTTCCTCGGCCGAAGGGACGAGACATGTCAACCTCACACGCTTCAACTCTTGGGTAAGCATGTGAGCCTTCTTTAGCATCTCCTCCTCCCTCCTCCTCTCCTCTTGGGATTGACGAGACAACTTACGAATGGTTGTTCAATAGCAAATATAAGGAGTTTAATGATGGACAAACTCAATTAATAGATTAACATCATATCGAAGAATTTTGATGATTATTTGATGCATGTCCTCTGATAAAGAAATACTATCGCAAATTGGTTGATTTTTATGCTAAAATAATTAAATTTTGGTTTACTTCGATGCGAACGAATGTACTAATTACATCTTCGTTAGTAAAAGAATGTATCCTCTATCATCCGTCGAGGATGAAGATGAAGTTTGACTACCATTATCAGGCCATGTGCATTGGTTGATGTAATCAACATTCGTTCATCGATCGATTGTACAACAAAATTGGTCAATGATAAGCAATATAGATTTGGGTTGATAGCTTGATCACGTTGGAAGATTGGACTTTGATTGATTGATTGAAACCGAACAAGACTTCGACTCGAAGGAACATGAATATGACTTGTCGGCTCATTGTGGATTAGTACATTAATAGGGGAGATTGGATTGTAATTTGATCATTCACATGTAACCATAAAAATCTCAAATTTTATATGTTAATATGAAATTAATTAGACATTAACAAACATGAAATAAAAGATAACTCAATGTATAAGACTTTCGCCAAAGACTATGTTAAATCAAAATAGCGAACAAGATTGCACCTTTCAGTGAAATGTAGTAATGTCAGATGGATCAGATATACCCTAAAAAATTTAAGAAAACAAGGTTGTCGATATTGAGAGAAATGTTTCTAATATCCTATGATTAGGCTTCGATTGCATTACTATTTCTATCATTAAAGATTGGGTGAGTATCTTTTAAGGAATGTGCACCTAAAATAATGGAAGGAAAAAAAGAAGAAAGAAAGAAATGATGTTATTTGTTTCAAATTTGAAGATGGAATTCCTTTGGAACCATTTATTTCCTTAACCATCTATCTTGTTTTTATTAAATTTAGAACTCGTTAATTTAATATTATATTATATTATATTTATCTATTTAAATTGTATATTTTATTTTAAGAAAAATAAAATAAAATAAAAATCATGAGTGTTCTATGATAAAAAGAAAGCCTAATGGTTTGGATGGAGTATGCTCTTTTACAAGTTTATGAAATAACCTAATATGCATGTTATGTAATATCTAAACTAAAATTAAAATTAAAATTTTTACGAGATTGGCAATTCAAAACTTCATTCGATAAATATGATGATGTCTCCAAGTTTAACTGATTAAGATTTTGATTATTTGATAATAAATTCCAAAGTTCAAATGTAAAAGAAAAGTCGATCGGTGGTGGTAAAAGTTATGGAGAACAAAATAGAAGGAAGCTAAAATTATCCATGCCCTTCATACTAATTTATAATGTTTATCCTAATCTATTTGATATTATTATCTTTATTGATGAAGTTTACTATTAATATTTTTTTTACTATGGACAACCCGCTTGCCATTGATAATTTTTTTTAAATAAAATATTATTTTATTATTTATAGTCCTTATATTTACTATTTTTTATATTTTTTTATAACCTCTTATTTTATTTTTGCTACCGACATCCTTTCAATTATTGACATTATCACTCACAGTTATCGTCAGACCCTACTCATCACCCCTTGATATTGACTTTCTAGAAGAAAAGAGGAAGATATTTATATTTATTTACAAAAGATAGTTTAGAAATATTAAAAATTTATAAATTTATAAATGATAAAAGAAACTTAAAAGTAGTAATATCCTTTTTTATTAGTAGATTATGTTGCATCTACCAACATAGTTTTTGGATGAAATGAAGCTAAAAAGCATTTCTAAATCGGCATTGATAAATTTGTTCTCATTTTAGTCGATTATTGTTTTGCTTATTTTATATCACTTATTTGTGTATCTCATTTAGTGATCTTTATTTAATATATATATATTCTTAATGATCATCTCATTTTCTTTTTTTTCTCTTGATTTGCTTTGTTATATTTATTTTAACATTTAGCAATAGAGATACGAGAATAATAACTTAAGAAAGACCATCAATATCTCAACACCGTATTATTGATACATCAACGTCATATGATCGACACTCAATACTATGTGACTAACAACTCTTTGCTACATGATCGATACCTTAATATCAAATGGTCAATGCATCATCACCCCTCGAGTGCTGTGATTACTGACTCAACCTTATAAAAATTAGTATATGAGATCTAGCTTAACTAGTTGTTACTTCATGTTCCTTAAATGCGACGCTACATGATCACATATGTAGTCGAAGAAAATACGTAATCATTTTAGACATTAACCACACCATTAATCCAAAAATCAAATACTCCACTATAAATGCCCTCCAAGTAAATTACACCTTTTATATTCGATATTAGATCGTATCTTTTGAATTTTTTATTAATTTAAATATCGAAGATGTCTTATCAAATATGCTCTCTATGTAATTCATTTTCATAATATATCTTAGCGAATTTGCCCTTCTCTTGGCATCAAGTTTGTGATAGATTCATACTCTAATCAAGATTGAATTTTTACGGTCTACAAAAAATCAAATTCTATTCAATGAACTATTGTCATCGTAGTCATAAAATATAAAACCAAAATCATGAATCACATCCTCAAATTATTAGATTTTACTAATTAGATTTTTTAATTCTCATAGTTTTATTTACTATAAAAGTACTTAAACTTCTCCAACTACACGTACATGGAAGAGAGAGAGTGAAATCTATTATATTATTTGCTCCATGAGCCTGTCATCAATCGGTCTATCCAGTACATATCATTCTTTTTATTATAATATTAATTTTAAAAAAATGATAATAATAAATATAATTTTAGAAAAAAATATATTTCTTTTTTCACATCAAATTAAAAATATAAAAG